TTTACTTGCATGGGATATCAAAGAGATTGTCCGATGATTTCCGCATTCCCTTGGGTCACCTCTCTTTGGAATGGGCACAAACACGAATCTCTTCCAATCAGTCGGCCAGATAGTTGTCTTCCAAATTTCTTGGCAGAGATGAGTGAGTGCCTCTTGTGTTGCCTCACTTTCTTAAAAGATTTCAATTTTCATTCCATCAATTCCTGGAGCCTTGTTCTTTCCCAATTCCTTAATGCATCTTGGACTTCTCTAAGTATGTTGAATTCACTAAAACTTTGGTGTGTAATTTACATGTCTTTTAAAATGTATTTATCAAGTAAATCATTTGTATTGTATTTTATACAGATATTTTCTTTGAGGACTAAGGTATACCTAACCAAAGTCACAGTATTTTAAATCACGTCATATATTTGTGAAAACTGGACAATGAATAAGGAAACCTGAAAAAAGAACTGATGCCTTTGAATTATGGGGTTAGTGAAGAATACTAAATATACCATGGACTACCAGAAAAATAAACCAATCAGTTTTGGAGGAAGAATGGACAGAATGTTCTTTAGAAGTGAGGGAGGCAAGACTTGGCCTTAGGTACTTTGGAAATGTTATCAAGAGGGACCAGTCCCTGGAGAAAGACATGCTTGGTAAAGCAGAGGATCAGTAAAAAAGGGAAAGACCTGAACACGACAGATGGACGCAGTGACTGCAGCAATGGGCTTAAGTACAGCAGTGACTATGAGAACGGTGCAAGACTGCAGGCCCGGAGCAGTGCTTCCTTCTCATTACGAGTCAGAACTGACTGGATGGTACCTAACAACAACAGAAAAGGAGCTCTGGTAGCGTAGTGGTTACAAATCGGGCTGCTAACCTCAGGGTCAGCAGTTCGAAACTACCAGCTGTTCTGCAGGAGAAAGATGAGGCATTCTGCTCCCGTAAAGATTTACAGCCTCAGAAACCCTGTACAGGGTCGCTATGAGTCAGAACTGACTCCACGGCACATAACAACAACAGAAATATCATCCATGGTGCAATAGACATTGAAAAGAAAAAAAAAAAGATTTCGCTCTACACAAAGTTCAAAAAGCAATCTCCAGTTGGGTTATTCGTCCCAATCTAGAGACTTAAACCCAAGGAAAGGAAAAAGACAGGCTGAAATCTGTCATGAGGAACACCAAGGAGACCCCAAGGCTGCATACATTAGGAAAATCTACTTTAAGAGAATAGGAAGAATTGCAGCTTATTTGCCAGATCTTGTCCAATCTCACTTCCAGGTTTCATCCCCAGGTCAAATTAAGTACCACATCACTATCAGAAGAAGCACTGCTTTAGACTTTATTTGTCACATAAGTGACCTTAAAGGAAGCATCTTTAGGGTCACAAGTCTCTGCACACACAAAAATAATGCTCATCTAGACAATTTCTAAATCAGAGTGAGAATACATCATGTTCCTGTCACAAAGTCTTTGATTTGCTTGACGCATATTACTAGCAGAGGTTAATAACAGTATTACTAACTAACACTCTAATACCAAATAACCCTAATGCTATTAAGTCCATTCCAACTGACAGGGTGCCTAGAGGAGAGCAGAACTGCCCCATAGGTCTCCCGAGTATATTATATTTATGGAAGCAGACTGCCACAACTTTCTACCACAGAGCAGCCAGTGGATTTGAACCCTCAACCTTTTGGTTAGCAGACTAATACTTAACCCACTTACCACCGGGGATCTTTGACATAATAGTTCATAGTGCATTATATAACCTTCTTTTAAACATGCAAAACTGATGTTCAGTCTCACCCATAAATAAAATAAAATTATAATAAGATAGCAGGAGAAACATGAGGCTTTCTGCTCCCGTGAAGAATTACAGCTTCGGAAACCCTATACAAGAGTCACTATGAATCGGAACCAACTCCACAGCATACAGCCAGCCAGCCAGCCAGCCAGCCAGTCATAATGAGATAAAATTTTTATTATATTAACAAAGATTGCTCAGGATGTTGGGAAATAAGCACTTTCTTGTATTGGTGGAAACAGTGCATTTGAACACTATAAGAATAAATCTTTAATACCTCAGGTCTCACCAGAGATGGAAGCAGAGGTAATGGCATAGAGAAATAGAGCAGCTGAGGACTCTAGACTCATGGAAAGAGAAAGGCTGTATGCTGGTGAGCAGGAGGCTGGCTTGCAAAATATGCCCTTTGGTCATGTAAATCAATATCTATTTTCTGTGTGGTTTGGGTACATGTAAAAAAGAAGAAGAAGAAGCAAGAGGGAATAGAAGCAAATACTGTTAAGCATTGGTACATGGAGGGGATGGGAATCACTGCAATGAAACAAAATATGATTGGCTGAATGCAAAACTGATGATCTGCATTGTAAACTCAATTCACAATAAAAGCTTTAAAAATAAACAAAAACCAAAAACCCACAAGTCTCTTAGTGCAAGAGGAGACGGTGGTGGTAGGAAGGGGGAGTCACTTGCCTCTGTTAATTTCTGGAGCCTTCCTCTCTTTGCACAATCTGACAAAATGCTGGATATAAGGGTCATGCCAGTAACCAATGCTTACTGCAAACCTGAAAAGGATAAAAAGGATACACAGATAATACAGATTAGTAGCTTTAAAGTTCTTAGAAAGCAGGTCAAGAGTTCAAAGGAAAACCATCATGTTAAAATGGCCAAAACAAACATCTAGTGCCCCATTCAAAATTTAAACAGGATCATCCATCCATATTCATAGTCCATTGCTCATCACATTTCTCAAGGTCGTCATTGCTCACCTCTCTTTCCTCTCTACTTAAAATCCTAATCAGCAAATAGTATCACCTCATACTTCATATGTTGTTAGTGCCATCGAGTCAGTTCTGACATATAGTGACGGCACTGTGTCTAAAAATTAGATCCAGAACTATTTGGCAAAAATCACTATTTGCAGCATAAGTATTTCTCCTGACTGTATTATCTGGTAGTGGTTTTACTTCCATTAGGGAGGCTACGGGGGGAAAACACACAAAATCACTACACTACAACAGTTACTGCTGAGCTGTCAGTTTGTCACACTGTGGTGGCTTGTGTGTGGCTGCAATGCTGGAAGCTGTGCCACCAGGATTTTAACTACTAACAGAAGCATGCAGAGTGGACAGGTCTCGGGGAGTTTCCAGACAAAGGCAGACTAGGAAGGACAGACGGACCGTTATTGAAGGGTGAGCCAGTGAAAGTCTCATGAATAGCAGCAGAATATTTTCTGATCTAGTCCAGATTATGAGCCGCTCAGGTTGGAAGAGACTCAAAATAGGACTGCACAAGAGCTGTCTGCTCAAAGTCAAGTTGACCATGATGACATGTACTGAGCTTTCAGGACCTTTATTTGCAGATGCGGCACAACTCAAAATGAGAAGATACAGCTGCAAACATACAGTAATGATCTGAATGTGGAATGTATGAATACTGGAAAATCAAAAGTCAACAAATATGAAATGGAATGCATAAAGATCAATATCCTAGGCATTAGTGAGCTGAAATGAATTGGTATTGGTCACTTTGAATTAGACAATCATATGGTTTACTACACTGGGAACAACAAATTGAAGAGGAATGGCATCATCTCCATTGTCAAAGAGAAATTTCAAGATCTATCCGGAAGCACTGCTGTCTGTAACAGAATTAACGTCCATACACCTAAAAGAAAGGCCAGTTAACACCATTATTCAAATTTACATACCAACGACTAAAGCCCAGGATAGTGATATTAAAGAATTTTACCAATTTGTTTGGCGCTCTAGTGGCATAGTGAGTTACATGTGGGGCTGTTAACTACAGTGTCAGTAGTTCGAATACACCAGCTACTCCACAGGAGAAAGAGGAGAATTTCTGCTCCCATACAGATTTACAGCCTCAGAAATCCTATACAGTGTTGCTGAGTTGAAACCAACCAAAATCAACTTTTTCATTGTTAAACTGATCAAACATACAATCAAGAGGCATTGATAATTACTGGTGATTGGAGTGCAAAGGTTGGAAACAAACAGCTTTTTCTTTGTTTGATCAGTAATTGGAAAACATGGCCTTGGTGATAGAAATAGTGCTGTAGATTGCCTGATACAATTTTGTAAAACCAAAGACTTATTAATTGCAAATACCCTTTTACAACATTATAAACAGCAACTATTCAGATGAACCTCGCCAGATGGAATACATAGGAATTAAATTGAAGACATTTGTGGGAAGAGATGATAAAGGACAATTTCATCAGACAAAACTATGCTGGGGCCATCTATGGAACAGACTATCAATTGCTCATATGCGAGTTTAGGCTGAAACTGAAACCAAGTCCATGAGAGCCGAAATATGACGCTGAGTAGGCTGTTGGTGGTAAGTGCCATCAAGTCCGTTCCAACTCTAGTGACCCTCTATAGGGTTTCTGAGAAGTGGCTGGTGGCTTTGAACTGCCCACCTTGGGTTTAGCAATCCAATGCTTATCCTACAGCACCACACCAGGACTCTCCCACATAAATTTACAGACCATCTCAAGAACAGGTTTGATGTATTACGCACTAAGGACTGGAGACAAGAGTACCTGTGTTATGACATCAAGAACATCATTCATGAAGACAGAAAATTGTTGCTGTTAGGTACCATCAAGTCAGTACCGACTCAAAGCACCCCTATGCACAACAGAATGAAACACTGTCCAGTCCTGTGACAACCTCACAATTGTTATGTTTGAGTACATCGCTGCTGTCATTGTGCCAATCCATCTAGTTGGGGGTCTTCCTCTTTTTATCTGATCCTCCACTTTACCCAACATGATATCCTTCTCCAGGGACTGGTCCCTCCTAATAATATGTCTGAAGTATGAGAGACGAAGTCCAGTCATCCTGGCTTCCAAGGAGTACTCTATGGACAAAAATTATCTTTCGTTTATTTCTTTTTAGCCTCCTTAAAGTGTCCTAGGAGTTCTGGTGTGACACTGTGGGTTAATGCACTGGACTACAATGTCAGTTTGAGTCACAAGGTCAGCAGTTCAAGCTCACCAACTGATCCTTGAAAACACTATACAAGGTTGCTATGGGTCAGAACCAACTCAACAGCACTTAACAACAACAACGACAAAGGTGTCTTAAAATAAAAATAGAAAAAATACTTTTTTTCTACTCATAGAAAAAATGAATCCAAAGTCAGGACTAATATTACATTTTTACCATAACTCAAGTGGACATCTTCCTAAATCACTGAAGTTTTACAAGTTTATGGGAATTCTGCCCCATACAAAACAATAGTTTCTAGCTGGATCAAGCATTTTAAGGAAGGTTGGCAAGACCTCAAAATGAATTGAAGGCACACGGATTGGCTTAAAAGCTTATGGTGACTGATTTTGGGCATTCCAAAGGCATCATCTTTGTCCCTGCTCATTCTCTGAGGGTAGCAAAGGCTGTCGTACAATCATTTCACTGGGAAACATTACTCTATCCATCCTACAACTCTGATCTTACGCTTTGGAGGTTCTTATTCCTAAGACTCAAAGACAATTTTAGGAGACGCCATCTGAGTCTCTCAAAGATACCAAAACTGCTTTAGATGTGGCATAAATCACAGAATGCATAATTCAGAAAAGGGTTGTTGTTGTTGGTAAGTGTCATCAAGTTGATTCTGACTCTTAACAACTCTGTATAGTATTTCTGAGGAGTGGCTGGTGGGCTTGAACCACCAACCTTGCAGTCAGCAGTCCAATGATTATCCCATGGTGCCACACCAAGACATATCAAGAAAACATTAGCGAGATTTCCTTCGGAAGCGTAGACCTAGATGGAGGATATGACAAGAAATAGCTTCACATTTGACATTTTTGTTTCATAAAGGTTCCTATGATTTTGTAGCTATACTTTTTGAATTACCCTCATATTCTTTAATTTATGAACCAATGTGGATAACGCTAACAGGTTCCCTCAGAGAGTAGTTTCAGGTGAAGGTTTGCAGGGCGTCTTAGTTCTCTAGTACTACTGAAAAGGAAATACCACAAGTGGGTGGCTTTTATAACTAGAAATGTATTCTCTCACAGTTAGGGAGCTAGAGTACTAGCTCTGGCGGAAAGCCCTTGTCTCCTTTCAGCATCTGCAGACCCAGCATTCCTTAGAGAGCTCCACGTGTCTTGACATCAATTGTTCCCTGGATCCAGGGCTTTACAGCATAGGGACCCCAAGTCCAAAGGACTACTCCACTAATGGCTCTTCTTTCTTGGTAGTAGGAGGCCCCTCTTTCTCTGCTGCCATCCCTCACCTTTCAGCTCTTGTAAGACAAAAGGTGTTGCAACCCACCCCCTCGGGAATCTCCCATACATCATCAATCAGGGCCCTGGTCATATAGGAATCCTGGGCTCCAGGGGTGCAAACCCATATGTCGGCAGTTCAAGCCCATCAGCTGCTCCTTGGAAACCCTATACAGGGTCACTGTGAATTGGAACTAACTCATGAATGGAATACGAAAGTTGGAAACAAAGAGGAAGGATCGATAGTTGGAAAATGTGGCTTTGGCAATAGAAATGATTCTGGAGATCTCATGATAAAATTTTACAAGACCAATGACTTATTAATTACAATACCTTTTTTCCAACAACATAAACAGCCATTATGCATGTAGACGTCACCACATAGAATACACGAGAATCAAACTGACTACATCAAACAGAGAAACTCAACTCCATCAGTCAAAACAAAGCGAGGGGCTGTGGAACTGACCATTAATTGCTTATATGCAAGTTAAGGGTGAAGCTAAGAAAATTAAAACAAGTCCATGAGAGACAAAATATAACCTTAGCTTTATCCCACCTGAATTTAGAGACCATCTGAAAAACAGATTTAATGCACTAGACACTGATGACTGAAGGCCAGAAGAGTTGTGGGATGACATCAAGAACATCATACATGAAGAAAGCAAAATGTCATTAAAAACACAGAAAAGATCTTGAAAGAAAAATCAGCAGGAAAAATCCCAAACAAAAATGGCAGTCTGATTGGCTACTACAAGAACAAGCAAGTTGTTTGCTGGGGAGTCACCAAGTCAAGAAATCAAGTCCCTTCAGGACAAATCCCCTTCCAAAACTGAAACTCAAAGGGAAAATATGAGCAGGCATGTAAACTTGTTGGCAACCACATTGGTCTACTGGTGAGTAGAAGAGGGGGGAAGGCAGCAGTGAAGAAATGAGCTGAGTTCAACCATGTTCCTTAGACTCCCTTGACCTGGAGATGAGAGAGAGAAGAGGAAGGGCTGTTTGGTATGAAGTGTAGTGAGACCTGAGGACTCCTGATCAGGACAAAGCCACAGAGGGCTAGAGCTGAGAGTGAAGCTGGGTATCCAGCTGATATGAAGTGAGAGGAGACACACAATAACACCCAAATTGCAGACAGTACCCATTTGTCCTAGTTTTGATAGCTTTATGATCAGAACTCAACTAGAGAAAGACAAAAAAAATTTTTTTTGGTAAAGGAAACTAGTGTAAATTGCCACAATTTGATGAACTTGGCCTATACTTATGGATGTAGTAGCTCAAAATACCCAAAGAGAGGAAAGGAGTCTTCAC